ACATACACGCTTACACATCTCACTTGGAGGCACGTCCTTAAATGACCTTAGCTGTTAATAGGACGATAAAGAACCCCCAAAACACCCCGAACTGAACTGTTGCCGAAGTACACAGAATATTTGGTGTACTTGCCTCCTTGTGATAGCGCGGATCTGATGCCGACTTTATAGTGCTATCACACTGAAATACTATGCTGAAGGCACCCATCACAGCATTCCACCTATTTTTTTTGTATGGTGGTTGAGAGAACCTTAAAGTAAAGGTACATCACAGTCTGATTATCAATGCCAGTTCTCCATCTGGCCTTCAATTCAGGTTCCTTATCATCCTCCACACAATTTTCCTCCTCTTTGGAAAGTGATTAAACATAAAAGAGAACATAAATACATTTTGATTTGTTATTTATTTGCACACTGACTGTAACCTAGCTGAATTCCAATGTCGTCATGGGTTTATCGACCGTTTTCTGGTTTCGCTGACGGGCTGCGATATAAGATCGATACCCACAGTCTGTTCGAATTATTAACCCATTAATTGCGTGTATGATGTTACATGTACTGTTGGGTAATAAAGATATAAACAATATTTCCATGGAGTGAGGTACATTGTATAAATATGAATATTTATTTTAAAGGTTTAAAAAGAGAATGGGAATATTTTGCAGTTTTATTTTCAAACCACAAAATGTGAGCCGGACGAAAATAATTGATTTCAAAGTATTAACCAAGAATTGTTCGGTATGGAGCCCGAGACATGGTGGCAGGCTAGCGGAATACAAGTACATAAAACGGGTAATTATGTAAATATAAATATAAACCAGACATGCGCTCTAAACCAATATAAAGAATATGACTTGCAAAAAATAAAAAGGCACGTGTTAATTGGTGGGTAAATGTACCATGCACTCGACAATTCATGACAAGTGACTCTGAAATGACAACGTGTATCATGTCCCTAAGGGAGACCACTGTCATCTAGAAAAACCAACTGTAAGGGACGTCATTACAACCAAGAAAAAACGCAACAATATTAGAACTCTTCTTTGACAACTCATACAGAGGTGCGCTTTACCTTAAACCCCTTGAGCGTTTACATCCGGGCCAACACACCTCATTATATAAATTGTATGATGTGTGAGTGTTACAAAGGAGTGTAAGTATACAGTATTTTTGATATATATAAATTCGCAAAATGATGTCAGACAATGTGAACCAAAGGTCAAACAGGTACTGAGCATACCGCTCCTGTATCAAAACACGCACAAACAAAACACGAGAGCACGACTTCGCTTTTTACCCGTTACGTTAATAGATTACCCATTTCGCCCAAAGCTATATAACGTAGTGCTCACCTTATACAATTTACCGTTACTTAGACATTGCTTGACAATGACACCAGTCGGTGTGGAAACGTAGCACAGTCTTATCTCACTGTTTGTGTAAAATAACATTATTTTGATATAAATAAGAAGCTTTGTTTCCGTTTTCGGAACTAGTTTTCGCACACTACCGTTTTTGATCGGCTGGATTTGGATCGCTAAAGGACAGCGCGCCACCATATGAGTATACGATACGTATCCGTATACGTGTTATCTGGAAAAACCCTAATGTTAAGTTATATACAAGGATACGAATTGCACAAATACTATATTTAGATACAGTACGATTACGACAGGAACATTCAGTTCTTATCGTAAACTACCGTCCCAAACTACATATTAGGATATATTATGGTTATATTTTAAATACAGAAACACAATTTACTTTCGAAACACAGATTTTGATGGGTGCCCTGTCCAGTCTGCGAACTCAGGCACAAAATCGCCTTGCCGAGAAATGTCCGCATCTGTGACCATTATCTCGTCCAAGCCTCCTCAAAAAAGGAGATTTCAAAATGGTGGTTGCAAACAGCCTGGGTATCTCGACATGATAACAGTAAAAAATCGTATATTGATAGCATAAGTACCTGGTTGGCAAAGAGTATCTATAATTATATGAACGGAAACGAATTGCACCAATATTACATATAAGACACAGTGCCATTACGAAGGTAGTTCATATTCCGAATAAGCATACACTACTGTACATGGTCCATTGAGTTTTTAAGTAGATATAACAGATACGGTGGTCATAATGTTATTGTAAGACTCGCCATGCCCTTCTTAAAAGAGTAGTGGAATACCGATGGGCTGCTATCATGGATGTGTTGAACACTTTGCTGTTGGTGGCCATACGTCTCATGAACACCTCACGAACAAAGACGGGAGTAACATGGATACGCTTTGGTGCTCTCGATTTACAGTGTCAAAACCAACCTCACAGAATAAAGCAGAACTTTATGAAATTCTAGTTACTACGCTCACTTACGTTCAATACACCCTTTGAATGTCTGGACGAAAGTGAATCCAAATTGAGGCACACGTACTTTGTCTATATTAACATGTATCATGTTGACAGTTTAATCCTAAACAGTCACAGGTGTCATGTCTGTGCTAACTTGGACTTGTTATGCTGACAGGTAAACCACAATCTGAATCACATGTGTCACGTCTGTGCTAACTTGGACTGGTTATGTTGACAGGTAAACCGTGGGTCTGGCCCTCCAGGGGCCTGAGGGGCGGGGCCCAACAGGGGAAACATAGCAAATTCTTTAAAATCATTCTTATTCTGTAGGAATGAAAGGATTTGGTCCATATTTGGTCTGAAGCATTCTTGGGTGAAGGAGAACCAATTTTGTATAAGTCGTGGGTCTGGCCCCCTGGGGCCTGAGTGGCAGGACCCAATAGGGCAAATGTAGCAAATTCTTTAAATACCTTCTTCTATCATAGGGATTAAGGGATTTTATCCTAATTTAGTCCGGAGCATCCTTGGGCCAAGTGGACTCAATTTTGTATAAGCAGTGGGTGTGGTCTCCCAGGGGGAAGTAGGGCGGGCCCAATAGGAGACAGAGAGGTAAAACCTATACAATCCTTCTTTGATCATCGGGATTAAGGGTTTATTAAGTCGCCCTGTGAGGAAGGCTTTGGGTTCAGTCCCCTGGCCGAGACATACAGGGTCTTTAAAAATAGTAGTTTCTACTCCTGCTTAACGCTCAGCAAATCAGGAGTGGGACGACTGGTTCGCCCGTTGTCAGTATAATGTGACCGGGTGGGGCGTCCTGCTGGGTGTCTTCGGCAGTATGTTTCAGTGAGGTAGCACTATAAAGTCGGCATCAGTTCGGCGCTATCACAAGGAGACAAACACGAACACATCGCAGCCTCCCAAAATACACACACACACTACACGCATGCATCTTGCACACAGGGGAGGCCGTCCTTAAATGACCATAGCTGTTAATAGGACGTTAAACAAGATAAAATCAAACCAAACCTTATTTATTCAAGAGCACCCTTGGGCCAAGGGGACACAATTTTGTATAAACGGTGGGTATGACCCCCTAGGGGCATGGGGTGGGGCTCTGTTTGTTTGAAGTTTGTTCTCGCTATATCTCAATTATTGGATGGATCTTTCTGAAATTTCATATTTACTTACAGCACCTACCATGGAGTGCTATATCTTTACTTCATACCAATTATTTTAAACATATTCAGGTGAGCCCTCTGGGCCTCTTGTTAGAGTAAGAAGTTTTAGTGATTGCTGTTTAAAGTTTAACGAAGTGGGTCAGTTCCAAATATTACTTCTTTTGTTGGCGAATGACAGGCATGTCTGAGAAAACTCCTACAAATACACGGGTCATGAGAGAACAACAGATTTTCCTACAGAGCGATGCAAGATTTACCTGCCATATAATTCAACATCAAATTCAAGAACTGTTATCTCTTCAAAAGGAGACTCGAACAGTTGAAGAAACACAAAGACACATAATCAGCAGAGCATCATAAATTACCTTCATATAACACAAAAATAGCACACCTTCTATTGATATCATAATGGCGACACTGTCAATCTCCGTCTTAAGTTTTCCTGTCAGCAGGTGGAATGAAAGCACGGAAATCAAGATATTGTTAACAATTAAACTCTTTATTTTAACATCCGCTTTTACCCCTTCAAATATAATCTATTTACAATTTTGACTTTTACTGGTACTTAGTGTAAAGTCGAACGTGTGAAAAAAGTGTTTACATTTGCTTCATATTTTAGTACAAATGTGTGTATGATCCCCACTTTATGTTCTTAATGATTTGAAGGACCTCTGATGCCTAAACTGGCTGAATATGATCATCTCTATATCTTTACTTGTAATGTAAATAGTTGTGATATAAGCATGAGGAAAACCCCAAAATATATGTTTGTCATGATGTGATAAAACGCCCGTCAACTACCTGCATATCCCATCCGGCATTGATAAATAATTAAACTCTTTTACCGGCTTTATCGATTCTGCAAATGTGTTCTACAAAACACGGATAAGATTCGCTCTAGAGGTACAGAGGTACGTATATCTACTTTATTCAGGTAGTATCCTTGTCCAAAACTCCGACATAAACAGGTGAAATTTTAAACCCTTCTAGAATATAAATGCACTCTTCTTTTTAACAGGTAATACGAGGACTATCTGTATTATTCAAATAGCGTCCTAGTGTCTAAATTTACATCCTTCTTGATTTTTAATACACTCTTTTTCAACAGGTAATACGAGTTATCTAGATAATCTCTAGGAATAAATATTTAAGAAAATATCCTTTATTCCAAATCAAGTACAAGAAATTAGATAAAAAAGAATTCGTAGTTTATCTTGTTTACCGCTTTATATTGATAAAGTGTGTCATATTTTTGTAGTTTTTTGTTTTCATAGTAAAAACCAGACAGCAAATAATGTTTTGTTTTAAACTGACTGCGCAATATTCAACACGACCACTGAGACTTGAAATGTATTTTCAGTTGATATTTAATTTTACGGACAACCAATACTGGTTATAAAATGACATATACTTTATTCGTTTGCTATTTTAATATGCACACGCGATAAACGGGCTTTAACGAGACTGATATTGTACACGACATCATGGGATCTACACGTCCTAGTGTGTACTGAAATATCATATGCTTTGGGGCTGATACATTGTAAGCTGGTGTCAGATAACTACTCATGTCATTGAGCGTGAATGTTGACATGGGAGATGTATTCGATGGAACGTTACGTGAACATCATATCATGTGCGTGTTTTTATTTCATAAGATAGAAAAACAGGACAGAAGCATATACTAGTTTAACTGTCATCTTTCAGTGGGAAACCGATCAACCCGGGCAAGGTAAGTCCTTTTTAACAGCCATGGTTTGTGTTCTAATCACATCAATTTTATATATAATAATACATGTAATAAGATGCACATATTTAGGTCACTCAAACACAAACTTGATAGGAAATCTCTAGAAATGTTATACAAGTAATATATTTGTCCACATCTTGAGTATGCAAGTGTTGTATGGAATAATTGTAATCAAACTGAATCAGATCTTCTTGAATCTATCCAGCTAGATGCTGCTAGAATAGTTACTGGTCTCTGAAGAGGTACAAGTCATGAAATCATCAATAATGAAATTGGATGGGACACTGTTAAAAAACGTCAAAAGGATCAGCAGCATATAGTGTTTTTCAAAATAATTAACCATGTTAGTTCAAATTATCTTTTTAAATTGTTGAACCTTACATAGTCAGAAACGAAGCTATGACCCATCATGTCCGACATCAACGTATATTTGAACCACCAATTTGTAGATCTAATACATATTTTAATAGTTTCTTTCCTAGCATAATGTCTTCATGGAATAGACCTGAATGTAATTATTATAATTTGAGATCTATTAGTGAACTCAAAAAACAACTTGTTCATCATGCCATACCCCAAAATAATGAAGATATATGTACTAAGTTTTTTTTTAATTTGAAGGGACTGGATCTTTTAACATAATAGTGTGTCAACTTCGAAATCGTGAAAGTCAGTTGAACTCTGATCTCTTTAGAGACCATCTTAAAGATAATCCCTCTTGTATATGCGGTTGTAATAATAAAGATGTGAGTCACTTCTTTCTGCATTGCCCTAGAAATATGACTCAAAGACAAAATATGATGATATCTCGCTGTCTCATTTGCAGCTTAACACCAATTTAAATTAACACTTAAACTTGGACCTAAACCTTTATGAACATTTAATGTTTAATGTTAATATACTGACTAAAGGAAGTAGTTTCCTTAGTGAAGATCTTAATTCTGCTATTCGTGTTTGTGTTCAGAGATTTATAGAATCAATAAACAGATTTTGAATGTTATGTATGCATGTATATATGTGTGTGTGTGAGTGTGTGTGTGTGTGTGTGTGTGTGTGTGTGTGTGTGTATGTATGCATGTACATGTATGTGTGTACCCGGGTTGCTGTAGTTGTGAACCACAAACTCCAAACCACTGTTATGGACACAGGCATTAGTAATAGACGGAATTCACATAACTGTGATGTTATACAGAGTAAATGTCTCCTGTAACATGAACTCGATGCATTTGGTCATAAAATCCATTCTGAATGAGATATATCACCCGTCGTTGTGGTAACCAAAATGGAGTTGTGGACACGGTGTCCATATTCACTGTGATACTCTTGTCACACGCCAAGCATATGATACTGTAAAACATTAAATATTCGTTGTGTATACACTTTCGTCGTTTTCTTTGTTGCTATGGAACCACGAACACGAATACAACGAACATTTCTACAGCTAGAAAGAATATCCAAAACGAAAATGTGAAACCGATGTTCTCAACTCATTGAAGTTCTAAAATGTACGCATTTTCGCCGTAAATTTACAATACTGCATGTCATCATACCGCGTTCCTATTCTAGTTTATATTATGATTAAACATTTTTTTGGAAACACAGTTATAGTGTAGGTAGTAAGCCAGATACAATGCTTATGTGCTTTTACGTTTACTAATTACCATGGTACATAAAGATTATAAACAACTTTACAAAAAAACTCTTTACTTTCACATGTATATGTATCAACAGCCGATATCAGCCGGCAAAATGATTTGAATTTTCATATCTTTCTGTACCGTGGTTAACTTTTGCCCGGTACAAAAAGATATGAAAGCTTCTCTCCTTTTAGTACGGCGTTACACATTTTTCATTTCTTTTTATACCACCTACGATACAAATAGATATGAAAATAATGTACCACCAGAGCATCGGGATGTTGTTATCGGACACTATGACCAGAACTGACCCCGAATAGTGAAGCCCTGATTACAACGTCGAAACAAGTCGTGAAGTTCATTAATCACTTCTGATGAAAAACAGAGTTAGTTGCAATTGTATAAGTATTGGGTCCTTGACAGGGTCTCCAAAAGGGATAAAGGACATCTGATATTTTTGTCATTTCCCTTGTTTTACTAGATATAAAAGAATCGTACAACTAGCTCATCGTATTTCCCCCAAAAAGTATAAAAAGGTAGACTATTTATCCTTCGAAGTAATTAAATTGATTGTCCCCTTTTGTCCCTTGTCCACTACGGACCCCGTCGGCGTTTTCAACTGATTTGGAGTTTCTTTCATTTGCGAAGTTGAAACAGATAGAATACATTAGAAATGTAAGTATTAGAAAAATAATCCATCATGACTTCCTTTTTAACGTAAAACATTTATAAAATTCGGTAAAGGATATTGAATAGTTGATTACAATTTAAATGAGTAAGTAATAGTTTGGTAGCTCATTTGGTGTAATCAAAATAACAGACATTCCGTGCGATAACATGTTATTGTATGTGATAAGGGTGTGACTTGTCATACTTAATAACCTTTTCGTCTGATGGTTTCACATGTTTCTGTACCATGGCTGTTTTCAGCCGTTATTTTGGTACAGAAAGACACAAAAGCAACGGGTTGATTTTATTTCTGCTTTCATATCTTTACATGATACACAAATATTTTAATTTTAATATCTTTGTGTACCATATAAAAGTGTACCATGGTACAAAAAGGTAATAAAATTCATATCTTTTTGTCATGCTATTGACGGCCATCATAAAATTGGTATTTAGGAATATTAGGGGAATGCTAATTCAACCGCATAGATTTCATTGCCATAGCAACCACACAAAGGCTTCTGATTGGTGGAAATTAAGATATTGTTCGATTTGATGAAAATTGATACTGGGGTTATAAGGGGACTGCGAAGTCAACCGCATAGGTTTCGTTGCCATATCAACCACACGGAGGCTTATGATTGGTCGAAATTTAGATATTGTTTGATTTTGATGAAAATTGGTATATAGGGATATTAGGGGACTGCTAATTCAACCGCATAGGTTTCGTTGCCATAGCAACCATATAGCAACCACAAGAAGGCTTCTGATTGGTGGAAATTTAGATATTATTCGATTATGATAAAAATCGAAATAGAGGGGTATAGGGACTTCAAATTCAACCGCATATGTTTCGTTGCCATAGCAACCACATGGAGGCTTCTTGTTGGTCAAAATTTAGATATATTTCGATTATTATGAAAATTGGTAAATAGGATATTAGGGGACTGCGAATTAAACCGCATACGTTTCGTTACCATAGCAACCACACGGAGGCTTCTGATTGGTCGCAATTTATATATTGTTTGATTTCGATGAAAATTGGTATATAGGGGTATTAGGGGACTGCTTATTAATCGCATACGTTCCGTTGCTATAGCAACTACACAGAGGATTCTAATTGGTTGCAATTTAGAAATTGCTCAATTTCACTCAAATTTAGTATGTACATTGTAATTGTACTATGGCAATGCGATCCTTTTCTGATGCATCTTTGCGACTATNGTATGGCAATGCGATCCTTTTCTGATGCATCTTAGCGACTATGGGGGCAGTTTGGGTGACATCTGTAATTGTTCCCCATTACAATTAGTACTTGTTGCTGTATATATTGTTAAAATGTTTCAACCAAGTTCCTTATGCACATCAAACTCATGCTTAGTTTGCCAACCGATGTGATTTGTGCATATTTACGGATAATCAATAAGGTATATGGCGGTAAATGCAAACCTGGCAATTGACAACGGGTTCGGATCCTTATTCTGCAAAATTGTTTCAGGTTGTTTATGATGTCATAATCACTGGTGCCTATGTAAATTTATCACATAATGTACTGTGTTATCCAGTTGATATATCCATGTCATATTGTTTTTAATATTAACCCATGTAATATGATCTATCAGCCCTGTGCTTGGTTGTAAGTTTTTATTGTTTCAATTGTGACGTCACGCCTATGACAAGTACATGACGTCACAGACTTTCGCACTGGAGTCAAAATGGCGGATCTTTACATTTCAATGTTGCATGAAAATTGTCGTTTTACACGAATAAATGCCACAAATCATGACTGTGATAAAAATGCTCTTGCAGTTGTTTTCATTTCGTATGAAATTTTTGAAAATCGTCAGGAATACTTCATTTTAGCTCGCTAAATTGAAAAATTCTTCTACTCGTTTCATAAATTTCAAATGAAACGGAAACTCATGTAAATTCCTATATAGAACATCTATTATCGGAATTTAGACATGACTTGTAATAATATGAAGTTGACAAACAAAAATAATAGAAAAAATAAATAAAACAAAAGAGAGCCCTTACAACGTTCTGGGAATAAACGGTACCAGGTCACAGGTGCTGGTAATATTTTAGTCAAAGTACACATACTACATGTAAGTTTACAAAACAATGAAACGGCATACGTCAAATATTATGAATGAAACTTAAGGAAAATGATGCTGTCAAACAAGGTTTTTGATAAAAAATCAAAGAATTGTTATTTTCATTTTTTTTATACTTTTATTTGGAATGTTATTAGTGAAATTGATAAAATATTTGTCCAATGATGTGAGATATATTTGCATTCATATTTCAACAAAATAATACATGAAAAGAAAACACAATCTTGAAAAAACAATTTCTAAGAAACATCATTATCTATCTCATTTTCAATCAGGTTATTGTAATCAGACTATAACAGGCTATCCCATGAAAATAACTAAAGGAGTCTAATTAGTGTGTTTCCATCATTTTGCCTTGTGCAATTATAAAACGAGATCAGAGTAATACGTAATAAGATATTTATCATATTTATAATAAATGCACAATAGTGTAACTAAGTTGAAAACGCACAACGTTACTAGTTTCCGGTGACATCATTTCCTCACGATTAAATTTTCGTGAACGAAATCGATATACCAAAGGCCAATTGGCTGAAACGGTCACCTGAGTATTAACTAA